GTTGCGTAATTTATGACGTAACGGTACTGTAACGTTATATTTCACATAACTTTAGCAACCAGTAAAATATACCTACTTGGCATTATATTTGCAATTTGTTAGTTGAGGGGGTTTTATACGTATCTCTCGAAATAGTAACTGCAGCCTTTTTCTGAAACGCCCCCCCCCCCTTTGCTGCAAGGGCTTAACTCTACCATAGGGTTTAGTGTACATCCGGGGGGTTCACCATCCCTAGGTTTGTTGTACATTATCCTCATCCCGGAAGGTACAACCCTGATGAGCCGATGGACAGTCCGTGGAATGGTCCGCATATGTCCGTGGCTGTCCTTGTGCAGTCCCCTACTGTCCGTGGCTGTCCTTGTGCAGTCCCCAACTGTCCACCGTGTCCATTGTGTCCATCAGTCTGTCCGAGGACCAGTCCATGACCTGTCCTCGGTTCAGTCTGCATTCATAACTACAGTCCGTCGTTTGAAACGTCCATGGCATGTGTCCGCAGCTGTCCACCACGGCTCGTCTGTCCATATATCTGTCCGTTACCTATGACCACCAAATGTCTACGGACCGTTCCACCGGACTGGTCCGTAGGACTGTCCGCTAGTTGTCCATCGACATGTCCATTGCCTTGCACATCATCACGTTCGTGCCATGTCCGCCGACATGTCCACGAGTTGTCCATCGACTCTTCTCTAATTTTACGCACCAAACAGTTGCATACCGTCATAGTATACCCACGGACACTTGTGGACACTTGCGGACTGAGATGAGTTCAACCACTCGAACACTAGATGGCGCTTCGAAATTTTGACACATCAAAGTTTTTAATAAGTCATTTGTACGTGAATAAGTCTTTTTAACTAGTACATTTGATAATCTGTGGTTGAAGAAAGGGGTACTTAGGCTGTTCACACTTGTCCTTTATCTAGTCAACCCTTATATTGTTTGTCATATGAGGTATTGCACCAACTCGCGGTGGTCATATCCAACCTCTTCAGACTAAGACCCTCCGCCCGCCCACTCTCTATGCGGTACGCCCGGAGTCCTCCATCGCCGCGAGGGGGCGGGATGGCGGCAATTTTTGAACCGAAGATCGTGATGTCATCACGGTCACTCAATGCTACCTTTTAAGCGCAACAGATTTCTATGGAATTTCCTTCAAACATCCCGGACAGCTCGGGACTGTAACGCGGACAATCCTCGTGGACTGGATTGCGGACAGTGCCACGAATAGGTTCTCGGACAATTGCGGACAGAGCCACGGATAGATAGGATCTGAGATGACTGCGGACAGTGCCACGGACACGATCGCGGACAGCATATTTCAACGAAATTTCCTTTAACCATCCTGGACAGCTACAGCTACACGGACAATCATCGTGGACAGTTTTGTGGACTATGGCGGACACGGATAGGATCTCGGGTGACTGCGGACGCCTGTGGACAAGCCCACGGACGTTTCAATCCACGGACTGGGGCCACGGACAACTCATGGACATACCAGTGGACATGTCCTCACACTGTCCTCATGTAGTCCGTAGCTCTGTCCGTGAGCTCTGTCCGTCGGCGGGAATGTCACGGTTACAGCCTTTTGGGGCCTTTTCACCCCTTTTCATTCTCCCAAGGTCCGTTCGCCCAGAGTATCACCTCACCCTCTCTCACCCATGTCGAAAAAAATGACCAAATCGAAGGTCTCAACATCACACTTTTGGAAAAGTTTGTTTTGGCTTCCAGACGGTCGTGCCTACCAGCTCAATGCTGGGTTTTAGAAAGAAGAGGTCGATGTCTGAGTCTTGGTGGAGGACGATACCTTAGAGCGAAAACCGTTCAGTCTGCCGAAGTGCGTCGACAACCGCTCAGTCCGCCGAGGCGCTTCGATAGGTGCTGATTATAATATAGGATTTTCTGCAGACAATGAGTAGTTGTCGCTGTCGCCGCGACTCGGTAGACTGAGCGGTTTTCACTCTGGTGTGTCAAGAGCTCGACGGGGGACGAAACATTCGACAGGCACAGAAGAAGTTTGCCAGAATTACCAAGCGACTTCAGCGAAGAATTCCAGACAACAGACCATCTGCTCGACTTCAAAACACGAGCTTTCGGAAACAATGTTCCTTGTATCTTTGTAAATAAAACTCTGTGAACTTTGTAAATAAAACTCTTGGTGAACTGCTTCTGAGTCAATCGCACGCTCGTGGGTGGGAAATACTTGTGGGTGAATTGCGTCTGAACGAATATACTTTGGGTCAATGGCACGTTGGTGAGTTGGCCTAGATCCGTCGTTTTAATCACTCGAAATTTTGATAACACGTAAATAAATGCTTGCTTGTCTTTTCATGCAGTAATAGTGTCGCCCCCTTTTTAAACGGACCCGTTTCTGCCAGACAGTAGGAGGGGGAGGGCGACATGGTTCAACACCACCTGTTGAGCAGCCCTGCACTCACGCCCGGGTACCAGAGCAACAATAGGCACCTTGCTCTCTGAGTAGTCGGCCCCTGCGCGCGCTGCCCAGCGCCCACGCCACAAATTGTGTTCAATTATAAAAGTAATGATTAATAGACTATTTCACAAAAATATCGCGCAAAAAGATACATTAAGAACAAGAACAGTGCATAAGTGCATCGGATGCCTACATGGCGTCGAAAAGCGGAAAAGCGCACCGTCCTTTTTTAGTGCTTACACTGTACCACTGGATTCACGCGTGCGGGCGGGCTTGCCCACTGTCGCTCGCCAGGGCGCCTTACGGCGCCGTGCGAGTATGGAACCCGTCTGCACGCGTGAATCCGGTCCGGTACAGTATAAGCATTTTAAAAAGACGGCGTGGATCACCCACCCTGTATGTTCACAAATTCTACGAAATAATAACAACAATATACATAAACAAAAACAGCTTTGAAGTCATTTTTCTTTTATTCATAAAATATTGCTCGAAACCGAAGAATAGAAAATTTTCTTAACTACGCGTCCGTTTATGGTTCACAAGAATTGTTAACGTTTTTGTTTTTTCGGAGTTTACTTCGCTTTAATTTGACCTCCACCAGCTGCACCAGGTGAAACCTTGACGCCTCGCTCAGACACCCACATGCCTACTGGAATTAGGTGGAAGATGCGTATTAATTTGTTATTGGCACACTTGGCACGTGTGGCGATGGGGAGACAACGAGAGGAAGGGGTGCGGTCAGGGAGGTGAGAAAAGCAAAGTGTTGCGGCGGGAAACGTTATTTTGAGCCAAGAGATGCCTTTCTGTTCTTTTCCATTGTAGATGATATGGGTTTTCAGGAATAAGATGGAATTATAACAATGAATGCTACTTACATTTACGGTAAGCTGACTGCCAGGCTCGCCACACATATCGTTATGAATAATGTAACGTTAACTGTTTTCTACTGAACAATCGCGTTACTGAGCTCTACCCTTCCGCGTGCCCGTGTCTCTGTGTCTGCTGCGCTTGGACAGTCACCACTGAGTTATCATGGCGAGTATTTTTTTCCCTATTCCGTGAACCGAATAACTAATACCGTCCGGGAAAAGCCATTCGCAGCTTCAGAGCGCGGGCTATGGCAAACATAGTTTATCTTGCAACGATACCGTAGCGATACCGTACTGATAACGTACCGAATTCTATGTGCGGTCCATCCTCATTTCTGTCCGTCTCACAACTAGTTTCCAAAATAGTGAGACAAACTGTGTGAGGTCGTTGAGTGTCACACGATTTCTTTCCAAGCACGCAAAGTGGGAAAAACAGTTCGAGTATGTTATTGCCCTCGACCGCCAGTGGTGCGGAGCCATTACAATCCATATTACATCCTGCAGCCACGCCCAGCGTGACCCACGGCGCCAGGCCAGGCCGCCAGGCCAGGCCGTGCCACGGCGCCACACCACGGGGGCGTCCGGAGGCGGCGCGCTGCACTGGAGCTGCTCTTGAAGTTCAAGGGGAAGGGAGGAGAGGAGGGAGTGACGCAAGTAGAGTAAGACACAGGCTTTACAATTGCACTGCGCGGGCCTGGGTGGCACATCCGGGACTGAAATACGGCATTAAAACAGCTTATTTGTTTCATGTTTGATTTTTTTAAAGATTTTACTGTTTTAGATCGTCTAGCTTCTTTTCGCCGTACTCTTCCATATATACTATCCAGTATGCCACGAAGAGGCCGCTCCTCTCGTGGGCCAGCATTTGGACCACCCATGCATCAACGTGAAAATTTTGATGTACGGGTTTGCTTTGCTTGTCCCTCTTTACCTTGTCCCTGACAAAAACACGCTCACTGTCGCTTTAGTGTGTGTGCTGTGCTTACAACATAATGTATGCAGTTTTTCATGATTCTGCGCTTAGCTTTTCCTGTGGGATAGTCGAAGGGGCACGATCGATCAGAGGTGAGTCACCGTGTTTACCGTGTGCACGTGTGACTGTGGCCTCCCGCCGTAAACCCTCGGCACCCGCCCCGCGCCGCCACGCCCCACAGGCGACGCAGGGTGCGCAGCCAGCCGGATGACGGGGATCCCGGCCTATCCTAGCCCAGCCCTGCCGACAAGCGCAGGCTGTGCGTCTCAAGGCTGACCAAGGCCGTCCGTTCGGACGGTTCACTTTCAGTTCCCACCAGGCGGCTGCTCCTGTTTCATTGTGCGGGGCCGGGATAGGTGGGCGCCGGGCGCGGCCTGCCGCTGTGAACTGCATAGCAGTTGCCATGCCGTCTGCTCGGGAGCATCAGCTCTTTCGAG